TTTATATATATATATATATATTAAACATAAATTAAGGGAGAAGGAGAGAGATAACGAGAGATAGAAAAAAGGCAAGAGAGATATTATATTTTAGAAATATGAAGTTCAGCTATATTTTTCTATTTTAAAATTGAATATTATGATTTTTTTATATAATTAAAACTTGCTCTTTAATTTGAAAAATTTAGATTCAGAATATATTTGTAAGAAAATGAGATAAAGATGATTTCCAAAAATAATATTTTTTAGGAATATTTTTATTTTTTTTAAATAGATACTAAATATGAGAAACAAATTTTTCCAATCTAAGATTTTCATAATTATAGAAATTCTTCCCCTTCCAAACCCTCGCTATCAAGGCCAATATTCTTGGGTTGTCTAGAGTTGCGATCACTTCGAACTCATGTATAAGGGGTGTTATATTTTAAAAAATAAATTTTATAATTGTGAGATAAATTATTTTATATAAACTCTAAACTCGTATTAATCGAAAATGGATATCATTTTTATTCAAGAAGTATAAAACACACTCGAAACATAACAAATAGAGTCCACATAGTGGTGGAATAAACCCCGTTTCTTTCATTGTAATTTGAGAGTGTGCATATGCTTAATTAGCAAAACACAATTAATTAACTAAGCAATCATATATTATTATACAGCAAGAGCTGCAACTTTCATCCCATGATCTTGGCAGTGACCAGGAAAAGTGCAAATGAAGTAAGTTGATCCCTTAGCAAGCTCAATGTAATCACGTCCTGACTGATACGTTTTTGATCCTTTTGAAGCAGTGCACGAATTGTATCCAGCCTCGTCCACCATCACCACGTTGTGTTGCGTAGCATTATAGTAGAATACTGCACGCACAATGAATAAGAATGAGGCATGTTCAATAAAATATAGAATCACAAAGCAAGAACTCTTTCTTAATCAGTTTAGATTATTTGTGTGCGTGTACATGTTTAAATAATGAACAAGCAAAAGTTTGATGATACCCACATAATTTATCACCAGCCTTGTAGGTCCCTTTGACCCAAGCAGTCATGTTAAAGGTCCAACCAGTTCTACCTCCAACCACGTAAGTGCTTGCATGAGCCATCTCAGAATAAAGCATCAACATACAAAATACTATCACTGACACTGCACCAATGCCTCTTTCCTTGGCCATCTTTTGGTTGTGTTAACAAATGTTGTCCAAATACAGAACTAAGGAATGGTTTTATAGCTCACAAAGTTCTTACTTTTGGGAGATGTTTGGTCATAAGGAAAAAAAAAAATTCATCCTCACACATTATAATTTTCTTTAGAATAATTAAAATTTGTTTGATTGGTAATAAATATTTTCAACAAATATTTATATACGTTATTTATGAATTAAAGATTTTTAATGTATTAAATAAGTAAATCAAGATAATATAAAAAGTATAAATTTTCCTATCATCCAAACACTTTCTGAACTAGTTTAATCAAAATAAATTTGTTTAATATACAAACTTATTTTAATAATTTTTAGATTATTTTCACAAATTGTAATTTTAAGTAGGTTATGAATTATAATTAAGCTGCTAGTTTATTATTTTTTTGTCTACGTTAATTTATTTAAAATATTTATTTATCTTAAATAATAAATTAATTTATCAATTAATCATTCTAAACACCTTTAATTTAATAATTATTTTATAAGTTTTTAATTCGTACATATATCTTTTAAGTTTCGACTAAAGATGTCAAAAATCACTTAACTTAACATGCTATGCTTAAAAAATCAAACTAAATTAACCTGGATGGCCAACTAAGCTAGACCCGACAAATAAATTTCAAGCATATTAGTTTTATTTTTTATATATAGATTTTAAATAAAATTGGAATAGAAAAATAGGTAAAATTCACCCAACACCTTACAACAAAATGTCATTGATACCTAAACCAGTAGTTTTTTTGTTTCAATCCATTCTACCACTTTTGAAAATCTCTATAAAAAAAAATCAAAAAACTATTTTTTTTTTTAAGTTTTTGTACCTTTATCTCTTTATAATTATTTATTTTTAATACTTTCTCTTGTTTAATCTTCTAACGTTTTCTTTATTGTTATAATCTATTAATTTATTTTTAGTTATATAATATAAACAAATTTCTCTTATATATAATTAGGCTAAATTAAATTGTTTCCCTCGTTTTGTTTATTTAGCTCAGTTTAGTAACATTATTATTAAAATGTTGAATTTAATTCCTTAATTTTAATTTAAAATTGATACTAACAATATTAAAATATATGTTTAATAAAACTAGTTTATCAATTAACTGAAAACTTATAATTTATAGAGAGATGACAAAGTGGATCAACTCATTTAATGTGAGATGCGACAGATTGACTCACAAAATATAATGAGTTGAAAAAAGTAATTCACTCTACTTATTGACAAGTTAACTCACTTTAACGAATTATTAGATTAAAAATAATATATCAACAAGTTGACTTATTTTTAAATCACCCTTTTTTTAAAAATAAAATCTTAATGAAATATTTCAATATATAATTTTTATATTTGTAAAATTAATTATAGGGGCTTTTTATGTAAAGGACCAATGTAATATATATTTGTATTAAAAAATAGTATAAATGAAAATGTACTGGTAAAAAATATGATTAAAACAATACACTTCTATTTCATTTAAAATGAAAACAATTACCTAAGATATGTTAAGCTATAAAATAAAACATTGATCTAACATAAAATCAATTACAAATTTATCTTAAAAAAATATAAAAACAAAAATGCCAATTGACAGGTTGACTCATTGAGTAAACGGATTTATGAATTGACCTATTGAGTTCAACCCACATTGTCATTCTTAAGTATAAGATTTGAAAAGCTTTGAAGTTGACCGAAAGATTATAAGTTAATAAGCTAACTAGTTGAATTAAAAGTGTTTAGTAAATTAGTTGATTAATATAAAATAACATTGTTATTTATTTAACAAGGAGCATAAAAGACTAATAGGGAGATAAAATAATTTTTAAATTAATAATATAAAAATATTTTAAATAAATTAGATAATAATAAAAAAAAGATAAACTAAGAGCTTATAAGCTATTTTAATTAATTAACTTATAAAAATAAATTATAAGTTCTTAAAATAAGTTTGCATAAAAAACAAGTTTATTTTGATTAAAAAATATATATAAATTAGTGAAAAGAACTTAAAAATTTATCAAATGTCTTATTAAACAGATTTTTAATCACTGTTGAATCAATTAAATTAAAAAAGAATTGAAGTAATATGTAAAAACTCCTAGATTTATACCGTTAAAACTTAGTTGATAAAAAAAAAAGTAATTTAGCCTTATAATTATTACAGAATATTTTATTGACTGATTTTGATTTATTACTTCATTCTTTTTATTAAATTTATTTATTTATATCATTTATACGTTGTTTGACTCTTGACTCTTTACATGGTATCAACATTTTAAATTTATTCTTTTAAAGTTTTGAAAGAAATAGTAGTCAAAGTATATTAATTTTCATAAACTAGAAAAAAAAAATATTTTATTACATATATTCATTTCACATTGAAAAAATAATAATTTGTAATTTGACTTTCTTAATTCCATTGACATTAATTGGTCTTAAAAAATTATTAAAGTACATTAAAAAAAATTTATTATGACACATAATAATCAATAAAATAATTATATTTACATAATTAAATATTTTTCAATTTTTTTATCCATAGAAATTACAACTATAATAATAATGTTTGAATATAAGACTTGGTGAATATTATCTCAACTCCACTACTAGGTCAACTTTGATAATTACTTTAATTATTATTTTTATAACAAAAGTATTTCTTAATTAATAATTAAAGACTATTTTTTTATGAGACATAAAAATCATAAGAGTTTTTACTATTCAGATAAAATTATATTTTTTTTATTTGTGATTATAATTTTTGAACTTCTAATAACATGTTTAAAAAATTTAATTATCTATCAATTATAATAAAACTTAACTAACATTGATTAATATAAATAGTAGTGAGTTTTGTCTTGAATATGAAATAAAATATATTAAAAAAAATATTCATTTAATATATGCTTATGATTTTAAAGATTAGTCATTACTTTTTTTTAGTAAATATTTCGCATCAATATTATGGTTATAAGAAGAAGAAAAAATTGACCTAATTAATAATACTTATTTGATATTTTAATAAATATTTTGAAGGATAAAATTATTATTTATGGAAACTTTATTTCATCAAATAAGTTATTTGATATTTTAAAGTAAATTTTAGTACTTCATTTAATGATTTTTTTTTTGTGTACAATAAAATTTGAACTTTTTTTTTTTCACACCAAATTTGAACTTAATTTCTTATATAATCTATCTAAAAAAATTTAGTATTAGACCACCCCTAAATGAGTTAACTATATACTAATTTAAATAACAACAGTCTATTTTAATAATAAAAAAAACTTTAAATGATTACTGTCGTAAGAATGGATCATATTTAATTTACAAACTCATTAGAAGTACATATTATAGTGAATGTTATTTTGAACTATTAAACTGATTAAAAAGATGTATCCTCTCATTCTTACATCTCTTATTTATGTTTTACAATGTAGTATTTAAATATAAAATTGTTCTATTTGAAATTATACAGGATTGTTTATTGAAGTACATATTATAGTCCAACGGCTTGTCTTTCCAACCGTATAGGTGTTTGCATGAACCATCTCAGACTCGGAGTGAAGCACCAACATGGCCAATAGTAGCACCACAAAAATCTTTATGAATCAAATTATTTTTTATAATGTCAGAGTGAATATAATGTCAGGTGTAAAAGAGAAATAAAATATATTTATGAATCAAATAATTTTTTTATAAGAACTTATATTAGAGTGATAATTAAGTGAGTTGGTTAAAATTCAGATGATATATATATACTAAATTACTTAAAAAGATAAAATGAGTTGTTTATTTGCAGAGTATCCAAAATGTTCTCATACAATATAGCTAAACAACTCCTTTTGACAATTCTCTAAAGACTTGTCAATGAAAAATAAATAAATAATAATAAATAGAAAAAACATTTTATAATTTATAGACCAAACTTAAAAAGGTTACATTTCATGTATAATATTATTCATTTTTTAATCTTTAACATGTGTATTATGAGAACTCAATAGCATTTGTTTAGACATTAATAATTTACAACTCTCATGATATTATGTATTATAAGTTGTGGATTCAAATTTCAATAAGTCTTCTATAAGTTTTTTTTTTTAATTAAGAGGTTTTTCATGTCTTGAATGGGACCATTGTCTCCTAAAATTTTTCTAGTGCAAAAAAAAAATGAATAATTTGAAAGAATAAAATTTCAAAACAATTTCTTTCTAGGTAATTTTAATATTCTCGAAAAAAAAATTGACTACTTCAATTATCAAAATAAAATTTCAATTAAAAACAGCTCTAATAAACACAATTTTTCCCGATTTGAACTCCTTTAATAACATTTCTTTTAATCCTTTTACTTACTAATTAGGATTTAATAGTAATGTTAGTGAAAAATTTACATTATCGACCAATAAAAAACATCAATCTTGACTTTTAAATAATTATTATAAAAATCAACAAACTTATAATTTATAATTAGACGACTGTTAAACTATTTTATATTATCAGCACATAGTCATTTTCTCTACTAATTAATAATAATCAACACATTTTATGTTTGCTAAGATATATATATGTACACACATATATATAGAGAGAGTTAATCATCCCTACACTACCAGTGTAAAGTTTTTTACACTGGCAACCAATCAGATCTTTTAAAGTTGCTTATTTTATTATTATTTCACTAAATAAGCAATTAACATGTCACTATTAAAAGATATAATTGATTGCCAGTGTAAAAAAATTTTACACTGAGAGTGTATAGGTGATTAACTCATATATATATATATATATAATAAAAGGATAATCTACGTGTTTCTTTTTATCTATTGTTTGAGGAAATAGTGTTTTTATTTACATATAATTTTAAAACTTCACCATATCATTAACTATTAGTTTCTTTCATTCTTATCTTTACCCTTACCATGAAAAATAGTGGAAAATTAGAAAGAAGATAAATGGCGCATTTAAGTAAATAATTTAATTATGTATTTAATAAAACTCTAATCTCCCTGTAAGAATGTACACATCATACTATCACCAAAAAAAAAATGTTCACATCATAAAGTTAATAGTAGTTTCTTTAATCTAGTTTCAGAATGATCATATACAAGAATAGAGTCACTAAAAGAGAAAGTCTAGAAATATCTAATGCCGTCAACTACTGAGCTGAGTTGGTGACAAAATACCATGAATTTGAATAATGGAGAAGAAAAGCATGAGTGGGTTCTTGGAACATTTCAAACGCCTTCAATATCTCAATTTAAACCCAGCTCTTCCTTGAGGTACTTAACTGCCTCTGATACACCGTCCTGGAAATCGACCAAAGGATCATGTATATATGTATGGTTATAGCACCATTAGGCTTACATTTTTCAGATCAAATTTGAGACATACTTTATAAAAAAAGGTCTTAACTAGTAAATGATACATTTTACATTATAAAATACATAAATAAATAAATAAATAAAAGCTAAAAAAGGAATAAAGTGTGCAGAATAGAAACAGTCACAGCAGCAATAAAAATAAACATTATTATTCATATGTCAATTCAGATCTAAATCATGTTCCAGACCCAAAAAAAAGGGGCAAAATGACCTACTTTTAAAGAATAGTCATTACCTCAAGCAATATTCTTTCAGCAATTTCTGCAGCCCGTGCTTTGACTGTTGATGATAATGCAGCATGTATTGACAGTGATAGTACACAAGCAGCTTCTTGCACACTTGTGTTATCATTTTTATCAGGAAGCAAATGATTTCTATTGAGCGGTTCAGGTGAAACACCAAGCCAATGCATTCTCTCAGCCCAATAAAACTGATCTAGCATGAAAGGGCATACTACCTGCAAATTTGTTCCACCATGTCAATTACATCTAATAATAAGTGTTTCTCATGTATGAGCCACATTTAGATTGGAATGACGTCAAAATTAATGCAAAAGCAACTAATTGTTATTTCCATTAATTCACATTCCACGCAAATTGATGTGAATCCAACCATGCTCTAAATGATCGTTATTCATCCACTTCAACAGTTTTCTTGAGTTGGAAAAGTTAGTTTAATCTAACAACACTATGCATGCAACAACACCTGAGAAACATTCAGAAGATATGAACTGTTAAGCCCAAATATAAACTTCACTCGATTTAAGAGCAAATTATGCAATAGGAATCATGCAATGAAAAACCAATCTTCAACTTTTAACCTTTCACAAAAAGACATTACAAATACAGGTTAAGACACCACTACCAGTCAACAATTTTCCATTTTTTTATCATCCCAATTGCATATTCCCTAATTAATAATTGATCAATTACTCATTAAAGGACGCCCAAGTGTACAATTGATCTATTACTGAAGGCGTAAGTGTAGAACTGCACTCCCAATCATGTAATAGTATATTAGTGTCTAAATGACAAAACTATCAGAGAATATTCATGCTATAAATAAAACCAAATTCTGAGAATTCATGGTCAGCAATATGTCCGTAAATCTGAATTAGTTCAACAGGTTGTTATCCTTCACTATACAATATCCAAGTATCAAACAGATTTTAGTACAACTACAAAGCATGTATCAATGTATCATGCTCTGTAATGTATCATGCTCTGTAGTGTCCGCTGGCTCAACGATATATAATAAAAATAATAGCTATTAAAGAAAAAAACAGATCGGATCAATTGGTTGGACCAGGAACCATTCAGGTCACTGGTGTAGACAATTTCAAAAGCAATGGACCAAAAGAAAAAAAGTTAAGGACTCAGTCAAAACTAGGTAAGAACTAGTGATAGAATATCAGTTTGAACCAGTCTTTTCAAAAATAAGTGATCTATATATATATATATATTTTATTAAGGCTTTTATTCTAAAACATGTTTTTAAATAAATAACGGCTCAATCTCATATATAAGATTTATGCATGAACTATTATTATTTTTTATTAATTATAAATTATTTATCTAGTAGGACATGAAATATGATCCTTTTATGCTAATTTAAAATTTCAACTAAATTTTCTCATAAGTTTTTAGTTTATTACTTAATTTTTTATATAATATTAAAAATATATATTTAATTATTACTAGTTCAGTCCTAGTTCTACCATGATTTAAATTTGTGAATTAGTATCTTCACCTATTCAGCGACAGTTATGGTTTTAACAATGTTGTTATAAATCATGCAACTGAGCGTCTGCATCTAATATTGGATGTACGATAGCAAGGATAACCAACCTGTGGTTTGCCTGCTTGTAATGCAGCAGCAGTAGTTCCACTAATTACAGATACACATTCCATGCAAAAATATACGTTAGTAAGCACGCCTCTTGAATGCTTCAATTTAGTGACAATATCAAAACAGCCAGGGGATCAGAATACAAATTTTCCTACCTGCCTCCGTGGTGAATTACAGCAGCACATTTTGGGAAAAGCCAACCATATGGTACGGAACTATTCACATTATATAAAAACATGTCATTCTTTTAGCATTTTCTATCATTCCGAAGAATTTCAATTTAATTGAATCTCAAAAGATGGAAATCAAATCCAGGTTATTCTATTAAAAAAAAGGAGCCACTTTCCAGCCTAGCTTAAAGTTTGTTGTACTAAGGTAACTAAAGAAAACTCACCCAGAAAAACACAAGAGTTGCCCATTAAAAAGAGGGAGACAATCATCACTCCAATTTTTTTGCTCAAATGATGCTTCAGCAGCAATGGTACGAACGATTGCTTCTAAGGGTTCATATCCAGCTGTAAATAGAATAAATCTATAATTTGTGGTGCTCAGGACATTTTGGAGAACACAAATAAATGCACGAGGATCTTTTAAAAAACCCATGCTGCAAGTGAATAAGAAAATATCAGTTAAAAAAATATATATAATTGAAATGACTAAGATGTGTTTGAATCACCATTTTGTCACACCGAACGCCAATCCAATGAGAGAGTAAGATAGGGTTCAGCGTGCATTCAAAAGTGGGATCTCACTAAAACAAACACTCTGAATCAACAGCTCTACTGTGTTACAAGATTGATGGCAAAATTGAAGCAAGCGGTACCTTCCAATAGAACTCAGTCCGACAAAAACTGGTGCTGTCTGCATAAAGTTTTGCAACTCTAAATGACTGGGACACAAGGCATCTTTAGCATATACTGAAATTTCTCTGCATTTCATACACGTAAACTGCCACTCAATAGGGAGGAACCAATAACCACAAACCAGCACTTTTGATGGCCAATATGCTGTCAATGCACTAAAATTGATCAGGTGATGAAACTAAAAATCTAGAAGCAAGTGTACTAGAGAAATCATACTTCAAGTAAGAAATCAAAAACATCCTTACAACATCCAACATTATATCATTACGTGTAAGTCAACATTCATGGATAGGATAACAGACTTTGGTACATCCCCAAAAACCATGACTTCAAAAAGCTTTCTTACTAACACAATTAAAAGCAGAGAAAATTTATCATGACTAATAAATCACAACTTTTTTCCTACCAAAAAGTCACAGTTCACAGACTTTTAGTTTTACTGAGTGCTTGATAAGAACCACAATTTTATAACATATTTGTTTAGACACAGTAAAAATCCAATGTCTTGATAAATTCTCTATTTTCACTCCTACATAAGAGATTAAAGACTGATTACAGAAACTATCATATGACATTATCCCAATTTTATGGTTTAATATCAGGAGCATAGTACCTCCAAATGGATAAATAAAAGAAAATGGCATAGATACATGCAGAAGAGGATTAAAACAAGAGCAACTTAAACTCTAAACAACCAACATCATGGAGATAATTATTTAGGGTATGTACTTGTGTAGTTAAAGAAAAGTTTATACGAAAGGCAAAGAAAAAAACAAACATACCAGGACATTCAACTACTTCTTTACTAAAACCATACCTGTTGAACAATACATAGAATCAGTGATAAAAATCAGAACTAATATAGCATATCAATTCAAAAGATCATGTAAATTTATACAACAGTTGCCCTTTTGTTGGATTTACACAACTTTTACAAGAGAAATATAAGTATGTTTTATTACAAAATAAATAAATAAAAATTCCTTAAAGCCACAATAAAAAGGCCTTAAAATACATCATAAAATACATCATTTAAAAATTCCACGAGACTCTGGTCTAGCTTAGCTTAGCATACACACAAAATAGGGAATATTCAATTCAAGCAACAGTGCTAAAAGAACATCAGGATAAAGTTTGATCCATGTTCTTTAAGAGAATTACATCACAAAAAAAATATTGAAAACAACTTTTTCATTCAGAATCATTTACTTACATCACAAGAGGAGATTGTGGTCTATCATGCCAAGTAGGGATGCTTGTTACTGGATCCTGAAATCACCAAAGAAATAAAATGCCTGAGTGAATTTAAAAGAATGAGGGTGCCCCATACTTCTCTACAAGGGTACATGTCTACAGCAACCTAACTCAAGCGGCTGCGGCCCAAACATTGTTTTAAACAAAGACTAGTAGGCATAGAAATTAATTTTTCAAATGCAGCCAAAAAATAAGAATATGAAACACTAACAGTAAAAGGACATGTACTAAGATGCAAGACATCATTTCTCCATGATCCCCAATTTTCTGTGAAAAGTGGCCACATCCAATGAGTTACATCCTTCCAGCAGACCTACAGAAAACTAAGATGATTAAAAAATGAAAACAAAAAAAATGACAAATCAATATATAATTGCTAATTCTTGATATAAGATATTATAGTTGTAGTTGTGCTTGACCTAATTAGTAGTGTAGATAGTATTTATATGTAGCATAATAATCACGAATGTTAGGCATCATTCTTTATCTTCCCCTTTCCTTCTCTAAACCCTAAAGTTTCAAAAGTTCCTAACTTCAGTTTAACTGCTGCAGCTACTGAGAATATAAATTTTTTAACTTTACTTTACACTATGATTTGTTTCTTATAAAAAGACAGAGGAAGTAGTAAGTAGGAGAAGAGGCAAAATCATTTGACACGGTATCTTTCCAAAGTGAAAATATAATACAAAAAAATAAAGAAATACCTTACCAGAAGGAGCATCAACAAGGTATTTATACAAAAGAGGAAGCTCTATTTGGAATTGGCTTTCAAATGTTGCAGGTGCACTGCACAGTAAATGGATGATTGAATGATCAAAATGAGTTTTAGCTTCCAAAACCATATAGTCAATCTAATTGGATGTGACATTTTACAAGCAATTATCTTGAGAGATCATTTTATATGGAAAACCTATCATATTTCTTAGGTGAAAAATAAAAGACATTAAGCAACTTGTATGCACTTACAAAACTGTAACTGCTTGCCATAAACAAGCATAGCTTTATCAAAATTCCAGAATGTTTGATATCATGCATGATGGGGATGAACTTCTTAAGTACCTGTATGGAACAACATAAGGAGCAGCGACAACACAACGGACACGAAAACTTTCTGCAAGGCTCCAACCTTCCTGATCCATCATGAAAATCTCCTCAATTACCAGATCACTATTAGAAAAATGACTGTTGATTCTACTTTCTATTCCAGTAGTATTAAATGTCCCATTGTCTCATTGAACAACAATTCTATACAGTGATTCCGCATTCCTTGTGCAGCAATGAGCAATAAGACCATTTTTTTTATAAATCAATTACCATTAACAAGTCTTGGGTCAATTAAACCCCTTTCCCCCAATCACATCAGAAACTTATCAAAATTCAAAAAGGTTTATCTTGATAAAGTTTTCAAGTTAGAATACCAAAGCAAAAAAATTTATCACAATAAGATCACCGTCCAAGCTTGGGCCATCTCCAAATATCCTTTCAATTAAAGAATAGCATTCTTGTCTATGGTCTCTTGTAACTTTCCTTTTCTGCAAGAAAAAAGAAGATTCTGCTTTCCCTGATAAAATAGAAGACCCATTAGAAATATATGTTCTCCCCTCATAATGGCAGTTCCACATTTTATAATTAGAACCAAATCGATAGTTCAAACCTTCAGTGTCGTCATTCTGATCAGCAGAAAGAACTGGGGGCGATGAAACTGGGCAAAATTGAACTTGTTTTTCAGCCAAGTGAGGACTCAAGCTCTGCAAGGAAATATTTAGTTCAAGAGTAATAAGAAAAGCTACTCAAATGAAGTAGCAATACATAATTTTAACATCATTATCCCAGCAATAAAAAGTCAGTTCTTTGCATTACTTATGGACAACTAATAGGCAAAGAGTTAGCAAACAATCATTACTCAATGCGAAAAACAAAGCTCCATCTAGTACTAAGGGCAGCGAAAGGTATTATCGAGAGCATGTAATCCAAACCTCGTGTGCGGAGTGAGTTATTAACATGACATGGTATTGTTTCTGGTCACAAGCAAAAGCTGCAGCAATGGCCTGCAATCAATTACAGAAAAAAAAAAAAAAAAAAAAAAAAAAAAAAACAAAAAAAAAAA